ACGCAGGAGATGCAGTATTAGGATATTTCCTTGACACCTCTGAAATAGAACTTTAAAAGATATTCCTTATTTATACCCACAAGTTTTTCCCAGAATCACAGGTCCGCAGAGCCAGGAGGGCACTTAAAGGCCTGCAAACCCTACTCTGACCCCTTCCTTATACAATGACCCTGGCAAACAGCTACCCATCATCAATTTACAAACTCACAGGTTTGGGAAGCTCACCACACCCGATGCACAGCCCCTCCCACCTGGGCCAGCTCTAGTGTTGGTTATCTCAGGCTGGGATGGACTGCAGTGTTCCACACCTTCCTGCTCCTGTGTCATCCTCACTCTGGGTTTTATCCTAATTAAAAAGAATGTATCAATGGCTGAGACCCGTTCATAGCCCTAAAATGCAATCTTCTACTACATGTAGTAGGTTGAACAATGGCTCCCAAGAATGTCTGGATCCTAAAACTTCCAGATGTGATTAAATGAAGGGTCCTGAGAGGGGATTATACTTGATTATTCAGGTAGGCTTTAAATGCAACCAGCGTCCTTCCAGAGAGGCAGAGTGAGATTAGAGACAGAAGAGGCTAAGGCAATGGAAATTGGAGCGATATGGCCATAAGGCATGAAATACTTCCCCCAGGAAGAGCAGGACCCTGGTGACACCTTGATGTCTGGCTCTGTGAAACTCTTTTGGACTCCCATCCTGATTTACTCTTGAAGAATCCTTTTGCTTAATAAATTTTGGAAAGTCATTCTGACAATCTCAGACTGTTAGATGTTTGGAAGCTGGCAATGCTAAACCAGAGATGCCCATCTGGTTTTAGTGTGTCCAGTTAAATGACACATTCCATCCCCCTCATCCCAATGTGAGACCAGCTGGCAGACGATGGCTCACTCTGTAAATAGGAAGCCTTGAAGGCTACAGAAATGAATCACTGTAGATCACGAATCTTCTTTATGGCAGGATTTGGTGGGCCTGTCTAGCCACCTGCTTCACTCCTTGGCACACAAATTAAAAGGAATATTTTAAAATTTAAACATTTGGGGGGAAACTGAAACATCTGAGAAGGGAAAGCATTAATTTGACATCTTACAAAGCTCCAATGGTCATAAATATATATTATACATGTAATTTAAAAACAGATTTCCTCAGCTTTATCTCCTGGGGTTGCTTCCATTTATGATTTCTAAGGAAGAAACTCCTTGAATGTTACTGAAATGAAGAGGTTTTATTTTTTTAAATTTTTTGTAAGGCAGACCTTGCCCTCCCCTTCCTTGTTGTGTTGAGTTCAATCCTACTAGCACAGGAGGAGATTGCCCTTCCTTCTCCAACGGAGCAGCTGGTGGATTTGAACCCTGTGCACCTTTGGAATTGCAGCACAGCTTCTTGCCACTAGGCCACCCAGAGAGCTCCCTTTGAAAATTAAGAGCTTTGAAGATGCTCACTTTGAAGAGATTTTGGTGAAGGGAATCTTGTTACCATTCTCAAAAGGCATCGAAGTTTAGAATGTACAGCACATAGGTAAACGTGATGGTTTTTTTCTTTCAACCACCCATGTAAATCAGAATTAGGATTATTCTCATTTTTCTTGATTTTTGAAAACACATACACACACACACACACACACACACACACACACACTCACTCTCTTTCTCACTCTTTAGTAAATATCAACTCCAGATATTATATTACCTTAAAAGGTTCTCCTAGGTAAGGGTGGGTTAAGGAAATGGGAAAGATCTGGTGTAAAAACCAATGTATATGGAATTTATAAATAAATCAGAATAAAATAAAAGGTTAAAAAAAAAAGGTTCTCCTATAGTAGAATCCTGAGAGAAAAATCAGGATTCAACACCTGCTGGCCACATTTTATACTGAGTCTGTAGATAAAGGCACTACAAGGTGATTTAGGGATCAGGGCAGATTTTGCAGGGACTCTACATATGGGGATTTCACTTCTCATAAATTTGGGAAGTAACTTTACTCCTTGGGAAAATTAAAATGCTTTTAAACAATTTCTCTGGCTCTCATCCATCAACCCAATAACAGTGACAGCCCTGAAATTCCAAGAGTTTCAAGGTATATACTTGATAAATGTCTAGCTAGGACTGTAGCCAAGTCTATTATCATAGATCTTACCCCCTCCACACACACACTACTATCTACAGCTGCCTAACATTCACTAGGTCTCATAAACAGGTAAAATTCATCAATGTTGTCAAATTGGTCCTGATTCAGAGTGGCCCTGATAATTCATGCAGCTAGTTGTGCTGCCAATCAAAAAGCAAGCAGTTTGAATTTACCAGACACTGAGGGAGAAAGATTGGTAATCTCCTCCCATGCAATTTACAGTCCCTGAAAACCCAGTGGAGGGTCAGCTGTGGGTTGGTTCCAACTTGTAGACAATGAGGGTTTTTCTTCATAAAGATCCAATAGAAGTGCTCCAAAGTTGTCAATCTTTATGGAAGATCTTTCTGGCAATGAGCGGCTGGTGGAGACTAACCACCAACCTCTTGACTAGCATTTGAGCACTTAACCACAGCTGAGCCACCAACGTTCCTGATTAAAAAGGTAAGTAGCCCTTCAATCACTGATCCCTGACTATGAATGAATGACAATGTACCTCTGCCTCTAAGAACGCTAAGTATATATAAAAAAAAGTTAGCCATACAATTTCACTAAAAAAAGAAAGTAACAAATAAGCGATTTAAAAAAAAACAACAAAAAAACCCAAATAAGCGATTTACCCAAAGCCATAAAGCAAACTTGCTGCCATCTAGTCAACTCTGCCCCAAAACAACTCTGTAAGACAGAGAACTGACTCAAAGGGTTCTCAAAGAAGTCAGCTGCTACATTTTTCTCCCAGAGAGGTTAGTGGGTGCTAACCTTTTGGTTACCTGCCAAGCACTTAACCACCATGGCTCTTTACCAGTAGCCATACTGGTGATTAACGTCAAATTGACAAGAATATTGAAGCACCCTTAAACAGTCCAAGACGATTTGTGAGTCTCAAAAATATTTCAGTGGTTGTTTTCATAGTAAATCGTGAGATTCTTAAGTCAGGTGCTAGAACCTGCAGCTTTGTAGTCTGTGGCCTTTTGGCAAAAAAAGGCGGCAGACATTGCAAAGGTCCAGAGAAGAGTTCCAGAAGTCAGACTGCCTAGTTTTGAACTTAGTGTGATTTGGGCAAGACACTTACTCTCTCCATGCCTCTTTAGGTCAGTTTCCTCCACTGTAAATCAAGGATGTGCTTTATGTAAGATCTAATTTATAGAGTTAATGTGAGAATTGGGAGTTCTGGCAACATAGTCTGTAGAGAGTTGTGGGGGAGTCTCTCTAGTGATTTGAATCCACTAGTAGCTTGGAAAGCGATCCATAATCAACATCCACGTTAAAAGAAGTCAAAAGTAAAAAAAGTGCTGCACTGGGAAAATCTCCAAAGTGCTAATGAGCAATGATGCTAGTTTAAAGGCTAAAGATGTATGTGATCCAAGCCAAGGTATTTTCAATTGCTTCCTATGCATCTGAAAGTTAGATAGTGAATTAGGATGAATGAAAAGTCAATGCCTCTGAATTGTGGTGAAGAAGAGTACTAGGTTTTGCAGAGGTGCAACCAGTGTGCTCCTTATAGGCAAAAATGGCAAAACTTTGTCTCACATACTTTGGACATGTTGCTAGGAGAGGCTAATCCTTGGAAAGGAATATCATGCTTGGGAGGTGGAGGGTCAGTGAAAGAGTCCCCAATGAGATAGACTGACACAGTGACTGCAGCAATGGGCTCAAGTATCAGAAATGATGGCGATGGCACAAGATAGGAAAGGATTCAGGTATGTTGTTTATAGGATCACTATGTGTTGTACTCCACTTGATGGAACCTAAAAACAACAAAAGTGACTAACTTCCCAAAAGCCATTAGAATAGTTGTTGAAACACAATAATGTAATATAGGCAGCAAGCGTGAATTTGAAAATATAGGTTTCAGCAACAAAAACTCTAGTGAGTTAACTACTCCTAAAATGAAATTAAGCATGGAATATTGTTGTTGTTAGTGCTCTAAGGTGCATTGTGGCCGGGAGAGCCAAATTTGCTAGTTTTGATCATTACCAGACAATAGAGATAGATTCTCTACCTGAGCAGGGAGATCAGACTATGTAACTTAGAACTAATCGATTTACTTCATGACCTGACCTTGGAAGCTTTCTCATCTCTCTGCTGAGAGCAGTCTCAAGGAAGGAAAATGATATGACCTCACCAGACACAAGGGACTGATACTTTGGGAAAGGAAGCAGCGTATAAGATCCTGGCGTGTGGAAACTCACATCGATCCTGAAGCCGTTTCTATGGCACTGTCTGGGCCAGGGAATTTTTTCTAACCCGTGGTCTTCTGGTGGAGTGTGTCCAAGAGGAGGCTCCCACTATTTCTAGACAGCCGCTGCTGTGAATGAAGGAGGGTGTCGGACACGTGCCTCTGAGCCTAGACTCACTTCAGAGGTAGAACGTCTCCACAAAGGGCTCCCAGACCCCATAGACCCTTGGGAAACTTCCTTGGTAGCCTTGACCTTGGTGCTTACGACTCAATATGACATCCTATTGACCTAGGGGGAGGGGAGAGGAAAAGGACACAGCCCAACAGCCTGGGCGGGGACGTGATCTGAGCATGGCACCACGTCCCCGGACCTAGAAATCCCACTGCAACAGCTTTTACCTCGGAGACAATTCCCTTACGTGGGCACAGGGACCTCCGATCTTTTCTGGACATAGCTCCCGTGGCGATCGGCCACTGAGAGCAAAGGAAGATGCTGGCCCCTGCCGCCCTCCGACGGTAGAGTCGGGGCAGTGGGGACCGCTCAGTCGGTCAGCGGTCGCACACGTCCAGCGGGGTCACGCGGCCTCCCCGCCAGATCCCGGCTGCCCATGGAGGAGACAGGGCGATCGCCGCCACCTGGCTTCCTCCGTACGGCAGAGTCGGGCCTCAGCCCCGATGGCAACCCGTCGTAAGTCTCACCTCCCTGCGCACGTTCAGCAGCGAGTAGTAGTCTTCATTGTCCAGCTCCTCCTCGTTCAAGGCCGTCGCCATCTTCGCAACCTTTCACCCCGGCAAACCGGCAAGGCTGTTCTCAAGAGCTCGGCGGCCCCGACCGCGCGGACCAGGTCGAAGGCCCCACAGCGGCCTCTGGCGTCTCGGAGTGTCACCGCAGCCGCCGCGCTCTTGTTAAAGGAGCGCGCCTGCGGTCTACGCCCCCGCGTGGCGGCGGCGGTGGTTCCACGTGCGGTCGTCAGACCCCCTCGGTTGTGCACACCCGAACCTAAAAATCCAACCATGTCGCCCCAGGGTTCTTCCTAGACTAGAAAAAGAAACTCAGACCTGGTAGGTTGTCACTCTGAGTGCTGTAGAAATAGGTCTAAGGGGCATCCACCATCTCCTCCCTTGTAGGTCCCCAGCCCGAGCAGAAAGCACGAGGTGCATCTAAAGGGGCTCCAGTGCAGAGCTTGTCCAGGTTCCAGATATTGCCATCCGGGCTGCAGCTGGGCCAGCCCATCTCCGCATGATTTTACTCTTGGCCGAGAATATCCACTTCCTTTTGCACGGAAGACCTCTATGTAAAGATTGGGTCCTGCCTCCATTGTTTGTTCTTTCTCGTGGTCACTAGGAATCCTTTGTGCCCAGAGCACAGGCCTCCTCATTTTAGTTTTTCACAATCACGTTGTATCTAAGGGATCTTGTCCATACTACTACTTACATAATGAGGCAATCCCCCTTTGATTCCTAATCTTCCTGCAGCGATAGCCCCTATTGCGACGTCATTCTGTGAATTTCTGCTTTATAATTTAGCGATGGCGCCTAATTGATTTCAACCAGGTGCCTGCTGTTTGGTGCATTATTAAAGGTGTCTCGGTTATAGTCGTCTAAGTAATTTAAGTGACTTCAAAGTGATGCAGTTATCAAGAGGAGGTAAGCAGGGGGTCTGTCTGCCAGACCCCTGACACTTGTTTGGTTCTTGCTGACCTGTAGCAATTTTTTCATCATTTCTCAGTAACGTTGTTGTTTCTTAACTAACCATTGGCTCAGAGCCATCTCTGTTGCCCTTCATAAGCGGATCCCTTGGGATGCTCCAAACACCTGTCTGTGGATTTGAGAAGTTGATTTCTTTTCTCTTGCTAATTTTTGGCCAGATGTGCACCATATGGGCCTGTGTTACGTCTCCTCTAAGTTGCCCAGCCCTCTTAGGATCCTTTGGCATGAGACACTTAGGTGTGCTGAGCCGGGCTGTTCAGGAGTGTTAAGTCAGTCTGGAACAGACTGTCAGCCCAGGTTGTAAATTAAGAGCTATTTCTTTTAGCTGTGTGAGGCTTCCTCACAATAGCTTTCATAGTCGCTCATGTTCCATCAGATCTTCCAGAAATTTTTATGGGCTTTTCCTTTTTTCTCCTCCTTTGCAGAGCTGTGATTTGGGCTAAACTGCACGCTGACATTTGCTGGTCTTTAAGAATTTTGTACAGAGAGGCTGGGGGAGGAGGGAGGCGGGAAAGAAACCATAACCCTACAATGTGGAAACATTCCTTTTTTTCCTTAGGTTTGTTGACATTAATTGGGCCATAATGCTCACTTGGGTAGCAAAGTTCTGCGCCGTCCCCTCCTCTGCTTTGGAAAACACTGCCTTGAGGAATTACGTAAAGGGAACATATGTTTCAGTACGCCCAGGTCTGTGTTGCTATGATTGAGAATGACCTGGTTTTTATCACCACTCAAACAAGATAAATACTGACTCAGAAAAGGCTTTGCATTTGGCCTCTCTTGGGCCCAAAATATTTTGTATTATGGTTATTTGGAAAGTGGTTGTGACAAATGGGAACCAAACTTAGATACACCATGGGCCTGAGGATATATTTACTTCATGGCTTGGCTCTTTCTCCTCTCTGAAAACCCTAATCTGTGATGGGCAAAATAAAGGAAACCAGAGCAGTAAAAATGTATAAAGCATGCACCTAACAAACTATCCACCCTGCAGCAAATAACAGAAGGCAAGCCACTTTTAACTTCCTGCTGTGTGTTTTTCTTTCCTTTTTATTGGGCAAAGCCATAGAGCAGTTCGTAACTTAGCTGTAAAATAAAGCCAAGAGTACTTACTTTCAGATATTTGTACAATGATATCTGGAACCACCACCTGCCTATCAGCTTAGATGCCACCAATGTGTCAAATGCCACCAGAGTCAGTGGTGCTGACTGTCACTGATAATTTCAAACACAGGCAGCTAACCCATGGTGGACAGGGTTCAGCAGAGCTTCTAAACTAAGATAGACTGGGGGGGGGGAGGAGTCTGGCAGTCTAGTTTGTCTAGTTTGAAAATGTAGCCATTGAAAGCTCTAAGGGTCACAATGTAATATTCTGCTGGAAGATGAGCTCCTGAAGTTGTAAATCAGTTAAACCACACAGCGCTGCAACAATGGACTTGAGTGGAGCAATAATTGTAAAGATGACACAGAATCAGGTAACATTTCACTCTGCTGTCCATGGCATTTCCAGGAGTTGGAGATGGCTTGAGAGCAACAAGCAGCAGCTCTTGCATGAGTGTGTGTATACACATACAGGAGCTCTGATGGCTTCTTGTTGTTGTTAATGTGCCATTGAGTTGCCTATAACTCACAGTGACCCTATGTACATTAACTCTGAAACATGCCTTATCCTGAGCCAATCTCATTTTCCAAGCATGATGTCCTTCTCCAAGGACTGGTCTCTCCTGGCTACATGCACAAAGTATGTGAGATGGAGCCTCAAAATCCTTGCCTCTGAGGAGCAGCCTGGTTTTATTCTTTCCAGGACAGACCTGTTCTTCTGGCAGTCCATGTTACATTCAACACTCTTTTTTAGAACCATAACCCAAAGGCATCAATCCTTCTTTTAATCATCCTTAGTAATTGTCCAGCTCTTGGGTGCACAGCAAGTACTTGAGAGGATCAGGCGCACCTTAGTCTTTGGACTAACATCATTGCTCTTCAGTACTCTAAAGAGGTCCCTGGCAGCAGACTTCACCAATGCAGTATACCTTTTGTTTTCCTGACTGCTGGTACCAAGAGTGTTGATTATGGAACCAAGCAAGCTGAAGTTATCAACAGTCTCAATCTCATCTCCGTCCATCATGAAGCTGCTTATTGATCCAGTGATGGAAAGATGGGAAGTCTCCTCCCTTGTGATATTCTGCCTCTGGAGGGTCAGTTGAATGGGTTCTACCTTCATGGCATACTACAACATGCACACACAGACACCATGTACATTCAACTCTTTATTGAAGTCACTTACCTTTTGTACCTTTAAGGGGATTTGTCTCCACCATCATGTTAAGAGGGAGCTCTGGTAGCATAATCTGTGGAGAGTTGAGCTGCTAACCCAAAAACTGTCCTTCTCTGGCAGTTCAAATCCACCAGCCTCTCCACAGAGGGGTCGGGGAAGGGCCATTTCCTCTCCTGTGACTTACAGTGTTGGAAACCTGCTGGAGGACCAGAGATGAGTTGGAGTGAACCCAATGACAAAGAGAGAGAGTGACATTCATATCAGAATGATCCCAACCATTTGGATTCTCAATCCAGTCCTGAATATTAACAGCAGTCATCTGGGGCTGGTTCCTCCCTGGTGGCAGGTATTAAAGCTAGGTTTGTCAGGATGCCAAATTAAGCTTGGATTGTAGATAAACATAATATAATGTTTCAGTGTGTATATTTGTGATATGTGTGGTCTTAAACACGGTGGCACAGTGATTGCAACAATAGGCCCGAGCATGGTGAAGATTGTGAGCGTTGTGCATTATGGAATGAGGTTTCAATCTGGTGCTTGCAGGGTTTCTATGAGCCATTGTCCTCTGGACAGTCCCTACAGACAACAATATACTGAAAAAAATATTCATTGTTTATCTGTAGTTCAAATTTAACTGGACATCCTGCACTTTTTTATTTGCTACCTCTGACCACCCCGGATGGAGGCTGTTCCATCCTTTCCCTTTTCCTTAGTAATCTTCCTGAGAGAACAGGTAAGCAGCCTTTTTTCCAGAACCTTCTCCAGCAGAGCTGAATCCACACTGCTCCTTTATAATTCATGAGGAAAAATTACCTATAATCTTTTTATTATTCTCTTGTCAGTGAATCCAGATTGGGATTTAGTGCTTGCTTGCCATTCATAGCCTCTTCTTCATTCCCCTCCTGAGCGTCAATAACCCTGTTAGGAGGAGATAGGGGGGAAATGTACGTAGTTGAAGGAAATAAGGGAACAATTGTCAGCACTCAAGAATTAAGTTTTCTTCATCCCATCTACTACTCCCTTCGCGTTTCTGAGACTTGTGTTTTCAGCCAAGATGTAGAAAGGCTAAGTCACTCAGAGGAAGAATCAGCCTGCCTGTGCTGAGACAGCCACCTAGAGAAGCTGCTTAAGGGACCAAGGCCAGGCAGCCCTAGGCGATAGAGGAGATAAGCCTCTCTGGGACTCCCCAGTTCTAGATCTCTCCATCCCTCCTGCGACGGCTAATGCTAAGTGTCATTGTGGCTGGCCTGTCATTCTCAGTGCTTTGACAGACACTGGACTGGCATTCTTCCACCATATAATCATATTCCGTGACGTGATCAACCAATCAGCTGAAAACAGCATTTCCTTAGGGGTGTGGCCTGCCTCTGGTATAGGAGTGGCTATTCTGACTAAGCTCACTCTTCACCCCTGCACTCTTCTGGTTGCTTGAACTCTGGTTCTTGGGCATTGAGCCAGCAGAATGCTCCATCCTGTCACCTAGCCTGCTCGTTTTGGATCTGTCACACTCCTACCCTCCAATTCTACTCCCAGTCCCAGGCACCCCACTATCATCTCTTGGGCTAATAGAAGTCTCCAGCCTACCACCATCTGCCCTACAGATTGGAAATTTGCCATTCCCACAATTGTATGGACCATTTCCTTGAAATCTCTTTCTCTCTTTGGGTCTGTTCCGACTCAGTGGTACACAACAATGATATAGCTGTATATACATTTCACTAGTTTTGCTGCTCTAGAGAACTTAGACTATGGCACTGTTCAATTATAGATCTCTCAAATATCTCTTTCA